TTAATAGGTCGCTTAATTGCGTCTTTAAGATTACAATGACGCTTTCAGAATCATGTTTGATTGAAAATTAACGTCTGTACAGAGGCTTAAAGTTCATAACTTTTGGAGCCTCCGTTATAAACAAATAGAATTGTGCGAAAACTATTGCACCTACAGCGCCCACTTTTGGCACACTTTTGAAGTATGACAAAGCCCTCAACTTGTCATAGGTTTTATAAAATTTTAACAATAAATGCGATAGTTATAAACAAATTAAAAAAGGGCACTTTTCTTGTTTTTTTTGCAATAACTTTTTTGTTTATTAACTGATTTTAATTTAACCAGTCTCATTTTGTAGATAATTTTACTCTCTAGAAGCTGTCTGAAGTTAGCTAATAAAAATTTTTGACTCACGAGACGAGAGATGTCTTGTATTGTTCCTTTAGACAATTTTACAATAATCTCGCGGATAGACCTTTTTTCGAGTAAAAATCTTATTTGCTTGGCCTAGTTTCAAATGTTGCGAAAGGGTATAATAAAATTTAGGAAATACAAAGATTATAAATGAAGGGCAACTAGAAGTAGGTAGTGTAGAGAATTGTAACAGTACAGAAATCAGCAAAAATATAGCCTACTTCGGTGTGGTAGTCTATAACTTATTAGTTACTTATTAATACCATTGGAATGACTTGAACAACAATAATTTTTGCATAAAACTGCGATACTGAACGATATATTTCGCGCTAAGTGTTTTTCTTGAAATAGTTATGGGGTTATTTATGTATGTACTGATATATGTTTTGAATGTCAAGCTAATTTCCTTGAAGTCCATAAAAAAAAATTAAAAAGAAATTCAAATAACTCCCTATTTATAGTGCAGTCTGATAAAAGTTATGACGGTAAAAGCGATAAAGCAAAATAATTGGCATTTCTTTTGTTTTAGTGGCAAGAGAAAAAAATATCGACGATACGCCTTCAATTGGTCTTATCAGGATATTGCAGTTGGTTAAAGAGTGCCCTGGTTTCAAACAGGCTTAATTACACTGAAAACGTGCCACGTGAACTTCTGTACATGGTGTATTTGTAAATAGGGAACAGTTCTTTGAAGGTAGTAGTTCCCCAGAATGCTAATCTGAAATATTTTTTATTTAAATCGAATGAACAACAGAGTTATAATAGATTCGATTTTTCAACTGCACTTAAACTGACTACGCCGTCACTGATCAGTTCCCGAACTCGCTAGTACGTGTTTGTTTATCGGTGTTGCCTGTTGTTACGTTTTTAAACTGAAATTTTCTTCTTGCATAGAATTAATTTCTGGATGCATGTAGGTGGTGGACATTTTGAACCTCTTTTAAGACAGGTCAATAATAATAGTTATTTTTTGGTTATATTGTTTAGATTGTGTTAGATTGATTATATTGTTTTTAGAAAGTATGTTTTTTACTCTGTCAATTCTATTTGCAGTAAAATTGTTAAATAAACGAAATTTAAAATTGTAAATGATCTGTTTCTTTTAAAGGCATATTTTTTGCTAATAAACGATTGCTCCTAATTTCGTTTTAGTCCGGGCGGTATCTGTTTCGAATTGGGTAAAACGTATATGATCTGAGTTTTTTGCTTTAACGGCTTCTAAATAACATCAGAAATAATAATTTTTCTATGCAAATAAAAAAAAACGTGGGCTTAATTGTTATTGCAAAAACGTATAAAAAATTAGCAAAAAAATTCATTTTTTTCTTGGATTTCTCGTCGACAACTTAGCAACTATTCATTTTAGACAAAAATTGAAGAGGAAAAAAAGTTTTGTAATTAAATTTTGAACACGATGGAGTTAGTCGCAATTCGAAAAAATAATTATTGTTATTGTAAAAATCGGAAAAATCATTTAAAAAATTGCAAAAAATGCTAGTTTATTTGTAAATTTTTTTCAGACACTTGAATAATACCTAGGATCTTCATACTTTTCCCAATTAAACTTCTTAGTGCTTAGAATCATCACAATAAATTTCATCCAATTCCGTTCGATAGTTTTTACTTAATAATTGTTAATTTTTTTTTTAAATTAAAAAATGTTCAAAATCAAATTTCTAAAAATCTAAAGCCTTTGAATATTTGAAAATTTCATCACAAAAAGAAGAGCTCTCAAGCTTTAAAATATTTTTGAAAATCAGACGATTAGGTGAGCCGTGGTGATTGTTTAAACATTTTCGCAATTTTCACGCTTACAAAATAATTGCAATAATTTAATGTTTTTTCAATTTTTTTGTAACTTTAAAATATGGTTTGGAAGTACTCGGAAAGACGAGTATTTTAAAAAAAAACTGATGATCTGCCCATTATTTTCGGAGTTATAGCCCGTTAAAATTAATCCTTATTTACAGCAAAACTATAAGGGTATAAGGGCTGTTTTTTGAACTAATAGGTTTGCCATTCCGAGTACTTTCCATATATAAATTCAAAATTTGCAATCACGGGCGTCCCATTTAAAATGTCACCCAAAGATATTCAAGACCGCGTGAAATCAATGAAGTATCAGCCCTTATACCCTTATAGTTTTGCTGTAAATAAGGATTAACTTTAACAGGCTATAACTCCGAAAATAATGGGCAGATCATCAGTTTTTTTTTTAAATACTCGTCTCATCGAGTACTTTCAAACCATATTTTAAAATTTAAAAAAAATGAAAAAAACCATTAAATTATTGCAAATGTTTATAAGCGCGAAAATTGCAAAAATGTTTAAACAATCACCACGGCTCACCTAATCGACCGATTCGAATTTTTCAAAAAGCATTTTAAAGCTTGAGAGCTTTTCTTTTTGTGGTGAAATTTTCAAGTATTTAAAGGCTTCAGATTTTTAGAAATTTTGATTTTGAAAATTTCTTAATTAAAAAAAAATTAAACAATAAAGTAAAAAATAAAGTAAAAACTATCGAATTGGATGGAATTTGGTGTGATGATTCTATGCACTAAGAAGTTTAATTGGGAAAAGTATGAAGATCCTAGGTATTATTCAAGTGTCTGAAAAAAATTGACAAATAAACTTGCATTTTTTGCAATTTTTTAAATGTTTTTCCGATTTTTGCAATAACAATAATTATTTTTTCGAATTGCAACTAACTCTATCTTGTACAAAATTTAATTACAAAACTTTTTTTCCTCTTCCATTTTTGTCTAAAACGAATAGTTGCTAAGTTGTCGACGAGAAATCCAAGAAAAAAATGATTTTTTTTAACTATTTTTTTATACTCTTTTTGCAATAACAATTAAGCCCACGTTTTTTTTTATTTGCATAGAAAAACTATCATTTCTGATGTTATTTAGAAGCCGTTAAGGTTATACACTTTTTAACACAAATACCGCCTGGACTATTTATCAGTAGAGTTGAAAATAACTTTTAAACAAATTTTATTATGCATTTACAAATTAAAATGCCTTTTAGTTGAAAAAGGTTGCCATTAGAGATATTAGCAAGATATTTTTAAGCAGAAAAGTTGGGGGAAAAAATTTTTCCAGCCCAAGGTGTGGCACAAAAAAGTTTTGGCAGTTTAAATACGTCCTAATGGTCGCTTGTGGCGCCCTCTAGAAGATACAACGAAACCGTCGATAAATTCGAATCCCAAAAAATCTCCGCATACGAAATTTCACGAAAAGACCTCGAAGTAACCGGAAGATATTAAAGAAAATGTTATTCGACTTATCTGGTGGAGCGTTGTACAGACCCTTTAGATACACCCTGTATAAACAGTCATGTACGATCTGAATGAAGAGTTTACCATTTTTTTTTTATAGTTAATAACATTTGTGCGTCATCCGAATTAATTTCACACGCTTTGTGATGTGTTTTCGACTTTTTTTCCGGTTAAACATCGGACTTAATTACCTGTTTGTTTTCGAGGGGAATTTGAGTCCCACTACACCGTGAAATGTCAGTACTTTAGCGAGGATCGCAGGAAAAATAGGTGACGTTAGGATCTGCATTACAGCAAATTATACGTTTCGCGGTACGTAATTTGTTGGACTCGTTAGAGTGATCAGTATATAATTTTGTGCCACTAATCACTCGAAATTATCAGTAATTTGGTACGCATCTGAGCGTGTTCGCTATGTATTGTTATACCAATTGATACCAGCGAGAAAAATTGAATAACAAACTTTTTTTTTAATTCGTTCATGAACAATCCTTACCTTTGAGGTTCTCGAGATCTGCGCAGCCTTGTCCCATCCGTATCTTCTCGAACCAAGCCTTGTAAATCCTCAAAAACCGGTCCTTGGGCGCCACGCTGAAATCCCCCTGGCAGAACATCCTGAAAGCGGCCTCCCCGTAGCTCCCGATGCCGTACAGGTCCTTCACGTTCCTCCAATCCTTATACACGAAATCGTGGGACATCCTCCACACCTGCACCGCCCTGGTCTTCTGCAGGCCTAGCTTGTCGAAGTACTTCTCCAGGTCCTCGGGATACTTCCCCAGCACTGCGAGAGGGTCGCGGTTCTCCGACAGGAACCAGAAGACGTAGGGCCTGGCGCACATACAGCTGGTTCTGTTGAGGAAGATTGTGGCCACCAGGAGGGCCCACGGGTCGTGAGATAGAACCTCCTCGATGAGGTTGTGGGGGGACCTTGGAGGCACCCACAGGGGTGGTTTGGTTTCTATGAGATCTCCTTCTTTTTTTATTGCTTTGGTGAAGAACTGATCATATTTGAGAGCCCTGAAGTATTTTGCTTCGTAGTCTACCAATTCAGAATCAGTCTTCACCAAATCTGGTTTGTGTTCACAGTGTTCCTCTTCGAAGTCGACTTTCTCTTCTTTAATTCTTTCATTGAAACACTTTACAGGCTTTGAAAAATATTCGCTATAATTCGCTTCACGTTTAAAATATTCCGATTCTTTTCCTTGATCTGTTCCTTTCCTTCTAGTCGTTTTTCTGTGACACGCACTCCTTCTAGTACCACACAGTTTTCCCATGTCCAAACTGACCCTTTTATACATTTTGTAGCGCACTAGTTTCTTGATTCCCACGAACTTCTTGTAACTCTCCTCAGACTTGCCCATTTCCTCAAAGGAAAATCCAAGGAAGTTCCCTTTATCGATATTATTATTAGCGTCGTTTCTGTGAAGGCAATTTTCGACAGTCCTCACATGTTCATCTATCGCCTTCTTGAAGTTTTCATAACTTTTCATAGACTTACCAATGTCTGCTTCAGTAAAACCAATAAATTCGTCACCATTTTCTTCTTCTAAACCCCAATAAACACTGTTTAATACGTCCAATATCTTTATATCTAGGCTCTGAAAGTTGTTGCTTACTTGTCTGAGGAAGGACACGTTAATGCTCAGTATTTTAATATCCGTACACTCTTCGTAACATCTAGGACACATTTTCGCTATTAGCTGTACGTTGCTGTTGAAAAATCTTGACAGAGTCACCTGTTTGCATGGCGCCGACATCTCCAGACCTGTAACAAGCAAAGTTATACAGTGTGACCCAAAATGATGGAACAAAATTCATTTTTTTTCCAGTTCAGATTTAAAAAAATCGCTGAAACAGGTCAATTAGTAAATGTAAATGTAAAAATTTTAATTAGGATTGGACGCGGAGATAAAATCCGTATTCAACAGGAGGTATGTGACTTATTTCACCATAAGTATCCAGACCAGAGAATTAGTCGAGCTACAAAAAACCAAGAAAGTATAAAAGATTTACCTGGATCAGGAAGGCGAAGAACAGTAAGCGAAAATGTGATCCATTAGATTTAACTGCCTGAACTTCCACTTAGACAATACACCAGGAAAATTAGCGAAAATAAAAGAGAAACTCGAAAAAAGTCCTATCCGCTAGATTATTGTAAAATTGTCTAAAGGAACATAATTCAAGACATCTCTCGTCTCGTGAGTCAAAAACTTTTATTAGCTAACTTTTCTATTTAAACAAATAAGTGAGGAAAACAGTTTTTTCACTTTGCAGGGAAAACCATCAATTTTAGCGAAAAGTGACTC